GATATAGATATAGATATAGATATAGATATAGATATAGATATAGATATGGATATAGATATCAAGTACTGGTCATTTGGATAGCTTTAAATAAATATTTTTGAAATATAAAAAATATTTGAATTTCGGTATCTATTAAGTAAATTTTTTACTCAAAATATGTACTGTGTATACATACAAAAAATGCTGATGGAAATTAACAAAACAAAAATTTGTATTACATAGAAGCGTGGCAACCGAGTTCGAAAATATTTTCTGACCAAATCCCTCAACAATACCGTTAAATTGATATACATATTGCGATGTTTTAGATAAATTGTGTAGAATCGAAAATAAGTGGCAACCTTACACTGCTATCATAAGGGATACCATTTTGTAAACAGGGAAAGCATTGTTTAAGAACCTTCTCTTGGTACCCATGAATAGAAATATTTTACCTTTTCTTCTAAATAAAAAATGTAATAAAGATGCGATTCAAAATAGGTGGCAACCCTATTAAATATTTTTGAATCAGGGGTCTCTAAAATACTTTCCATTTGATGCCCATATTATGATGGGTTAATTAATTTGTAGCTAATTTCGAATAGGTGGCAACCTTATACGAGTCTTCCCGGGGACAATACCTATTCAGATAACCTTAGAACCCAAAACATTATCTGTGTACAAAATTTCATCAAAATCGTAGGAGCCGTTTCCGAGAACCCTATGGATATATATATATACAAGAATTGCTCGTTTAATGTAACAATGTAAAGCAAAATACATTGCACAATGTTAATACCGTTTATACTATTAAAAACTAAAATATTTCACATCCATATTTAGGTGTAAATACTTCTATCATGATTTTCCATCACAGGCTAACTTATATAAATACCACGTTTTTTAATCGGTTTTATTTAGCTTGCCTTTTTCTTACCTTTGATTAGACTTCAGATCTATTGGCCTGAAATTTGGTACACATCTTGAGTTCTGATGACAATACTATCTATATTCAGTATCATTGTAAATATAAGATGGCTGCCACCACAAAATGCCGGATTTCATAATGTTGTTACAAGCCCGCAATATAGGTATCAAATTAAAGGGCTTGACTAGTAAAGTACAGTACACATAGTGTACTTCGAAATTGATATTAAATTTTAAGAAATCAAAATGGCGGATCCAATATGGCGGACCACTTTTCTTAAATTATAGTTTCGTTATGAAACTTTGTTTTGGTCTCTGAATAGATCCCCGTTATATTTGTTTACGAAATTGAAATTACATTTACAAAATTCAAATTGGGTTCAAATGGTGCTAAAGGTAATGCATTGCGTTAAAAGTAAAACGCCTATTATTCGGAACGCCATATTTGTTCCGCCATTTTGAATTTTTGAAAACATGATATCAATTTCGAAATCAATGACGACGAAAATCTCTGGATATCAAGCTTCATAAAAATCTATAAATTTTTGAGGAAATCGACCGCCATATTAGATCCGCCATTTTGATTTTTTAAATTAAATATCAATTTCGAAACCAGTGACGACGAAAAGCTCTGGATACCAAGCTTCATAACAATCGATACTTTTTTTAATAAATCGTCCGCCATTTTGAATTTTGGAAATTTAATTTAATATTCGAATTCAGTGACGACGAAAATCCCTAATTACCAAATTTCATTGAAATCTGTCAAATACATATGGAGTAAATACCAAGCTTCATAAAAATTGAATATCAATTTCGGAATCTGTGACGACAAAAATCTCGGGACACCAAGCTTCATAACAATATAGACATTTTTTAAGAAATCGTCCGCCATGTTGGATCCGCCATTGTGAATTTTGGAAATTTAATTTAATATTCGAAATCGGTGATGACGAAAATCCCTAAATACCAAATTTCATTGAAATCTGTCAAACACATATAGAGTAAACATTTTTGTCGTCCTATATTGTCGATTCGTCCCTATGTGCGCCCGTACAAAAATTCATAATTTTTTCAATCTTCTTAATAGGGTTATGGGTATTAAATTTAAGGGGTTTACAGTTATAACACTATGCTTGGCAGATCATTATCTAACCAAAACTAAGAATGAGACTAACACCCAAGTCACGATTTCGTTAAGGTTGCTCAAATTATACGTCGTTAGCGGTACACCACCCAAGTTAAGGTAAAATGTTAAAGCGCGCCGAGGACTGTATGGTATCAGGGTGGACAAAAATGTGAGCGGTAAAATAGGCTTTTTTTTCGCTGCTCACACTATTAGCTTAGGCCAAAAAAAAATACCAAAGAAAACAAGCCATGGCCGACCATGCCCACCTAATGCAGTCGATAACAATCTGTTTCCTCTGATACGGTATTTTTAACCAAGTTTATTTGTATTAAAGTTTAATACACACTAATTTAAAGATAAATAAAAACTTATAACAAAATCATAAAAAAGCTAATACTAAATAATATACACAATTAATTTAGGTAGTTCCTTTTTTGTCTTTTCAATACTCTGCCCTTTGCGTGAAGAAAATGTTGTTGGCAAGTTTTGTTGATGTCAACGTCGGTCACATTGCAAAACTTAGAAAAGCAGATATCTGTTGATTAAAAATGCAGCAAATATCACTCAATTAAAAAAAAACGTAACAAACTAAAGAAAATTAACCTTTTATAATCGCAAATGTGTTGTATTTTTGGATACTTGGTTTGTCAACCGTACCGCGCCAAGACAAACCCATTGCTAATTCATCCGAAATAATGCTCCTAATGGCCATTTTAAGGAAAAACGTTTCAGATTCGCCACCAATTCTCAGAATCATTTTTTTCTGCATATTGTGAGAGGAATACATATTTGATTAAAATGTAGAATGAGTAAGAATATATAGAATTGACTCACGAATGCAGCTTTAATTGCATGATCAGTTGAAAGTTTTGCATCAAACTCTTCAAATTCCGAGAGTGCATAAAATGGTTGCGACGGTAAAAGTGTTGTATCACC